TAAGTCAACGGGTAAACACAATATCATGCAGTTATTGACACAACTGGTATCCTCTAGATACAAATTCTACAAAGCAGAGGCACTACAAATGATCTTTTTTATCTCATGTAGGTATCACATTTCTTGATCAGAAGAACATTTTTTGGGTGTTCCCTAACTAAAGCAAGTTCTGGTCTGGTCCAGCAGACTAAAGGTACGAAAATATTTCTGTTGGTTTCTGCCCTGTTTCAACCTTATACCAAGAGGTGACATTTCCTGCAAGAATTTGGCATCTCCTCTCCTGTACAAATGCTGCTCCTCATTCGGTTTTTCTGTAGATGTTTGTCTGAGGTTCTGCAGACTGCGAAGTTCTACAACAGCTGCTGACACATCTGGAGAGGACATCATACTCAAATGGGGCCTTTTCCTGGTCCCTCTGACCACGTTCTGTCTCGGCACATGGCAGGTACAAATAAATATTTCGTTTTTTCAAGAGATGAGCACTGGAGGGTTGTCCGGTTTTGCCACCTCTGGCTGTTTAATCTAGTTCAAATCACATGCAGTGTAAAGATTTGCTGTTATTTTACATTTCTGTTTTCCAACTGTCCATTTCTAAGTCTGTAAAGGAGTAGTTCTTGGGGTTTTACCCTTTTATTTCAGTGTAAATATTTCCACAAATTGAAGTCAGTAGCCTCCATTTCCAAACCTCCAGTTACCCTGTTTTAGGCCAGGTCTGAGGAGAAACTTATGACAAAGATTTTAAGGCTTGCTGGGGTTATTACATAAGCTAATTTGCTTTTGTGTGCTTTCAGGTTCAGCGGCGGAAGTGGAAATTAGATTTGATTGCACAACTGGCATCAAGAATTACATCAGAGCCCATCCCTCTGACCTTAGAGTAAGGAAGCTGGGATAGTTTATTGTCTAGGGAGCACTGACAGTGTGCTGGGGATATTAGATGTGGTCCTTGCACTAATGAGCTTATCTTAAACTAAGCTGCATGAAAATGAGGGAATTCAATGGGAAGCAAGACATGCAAGCAAATTAGAAAAATAGACATGGTGTTAATTTTCTTATTTTTAGTAAAAGAGTAAGTGAATGCTTCTCTATGGGATACTCTAAATGGATGAATCTCAGCTCAGGAGAGTGTGTGATGACAATAAAATCTTGAGCCAGCTGCTTATTCCACAAGGTGTTTGTCTTCTCTTTCTGGTTGCCAACTGGCACTAGAGTAACCATTAGTTAAAAGGAAAGTCCTACAGTAAAATCCCCTAACCTGCCTGTAACAACCATGGTTTTGTTTTCATCTTGTTTCATGCAGCCCGATGGAACTGAAGGAACTGGAGTACAGACCGGTAAAAGTCCGAGGGCATTTTGACCACTCCAAGGAGCTCTATATTTTGCCACGGTCACTTGTGGACCCTCAGCGAGAAGCCAGAGAAGCCGGACGGCTGACATCACACCCAGAAAACGGAGCAAACGTCATTACTCCTTTCTACTGCACGGAACTAGGGTAAGTTAAGGAAAGTCATGATTCATGTGAGCAACTCCGGTTTTGAAAAGCTGCGTCATGGTGGTTGGGTTTATAGAAATCGCTCCCTCTCCCTGAAAAGGCATCTCTCACAGTCTGTTAGGCTTGATTTGAAATTGCATTTAAATTCCCCTATAACATGCACTCAGATGACAAAAAAAAAGTGGCACCAAGCATGTGTGTCACTTCTGTCTTAGGTACTTTAGTTCTAGGCAGCAATGGGAATAAATCTGCTTTCACTCACACGCCTTATTTCTTTATGTAACTCTAGGGTCACGATTTTAGTCAACCGAGGATTTGTGCCCAAAAAGAAATTGAAACCGGAGACCAGGCTGAAGGGACAGGTAAGGGGGATGTTGTTCTATTACTTTTTGCCCTGTGATTACCCAAAGGCACTACTGACAAACCGAGAAAGGCAGTAGCCACGTTCAGCATCTCAGGAGGTGCTTAGTCATTGTGCTTTTTTCCCCACCTTTTTGTTAAGTAAATAATGTTATTTACAAACAAGGAGCTGTTTTCAATCTGCTTTTTCTGCCTGCTGTATTAACAATACTACCCCACTGCAGGGCACGACCACTGGATTTATAATCAGACCCTGCAAGTGCTGTATTTTTCTACCAGAACCTGGTGTGCCACCATGTGAAATGAACCTTGAAAGATGCCTTTTTTTCTCCTCTACATTTCTCTTCAGATTGAAGATGAAATTGAGCTCACTGGCGTGGTGAGATTATCAGAAACCCGGAAACCTTTTGTGCCTGAAAATAACATTGAGAAAAACCGCTGGCATTACCGTGACCTGGAGGCTATGGCAAAGGTGACCGGGGCTGAGCCCATCTTCATCGATGCTGATTTTCGTAAGTCACAGAGAAACCCAACCCCACATCCAATCTACAGCAGCCTCTTGCCCTTTCTGTTTGGTGAATTAGTTCGCCTGGGCGCTTGGAAAGGTAGAATCATGGAATCATGTGGGTTGGAAAAGACCCTTAAGATTAGCAAGTCCAGCAAGTCCATTGGATCTGCCTGTCCTCTTCATGTGCTCTGCTAGCTCTGTACTTTGAAGGCGACAGGCAGCTGGCACTGGGGCTGGCAGCACGCTCAGAGGCGCTGGCAGCGTTTGATGCCCTGAGCACAACCAGCCACTTGCTGTAGGGGCTCTGCCTTGCTGGTAACCCTTCCGTGAGGAAGAGGAGCAGGGTATCCACATGACCAACCACCTTTATCCCTTTTCTCACAGGAAGGGCAGCTCTACGCGGTGCAGACCAGAGATTTAACTTGTGCACTGGGTTCTTCTTGCAGGAAGCACAGTCCCAGGGGGGCCCATCGGAGGTCAGACGCGAGTGAGCCTGAGAAACGAGCACATGCAGTATATCATCACCTGGTAGGTACCCAGCCAGCGTTTCACTGACCTTCCACGTTTGTTCTGAGTGTAAAGCTTTGCCTGCCATTCTTCCTCCTGCATCAGGGAGGCTGGATGAGCCCTTACACTACAAAAGCCTGAAGCATCAACCCAAGTAACACTTGGAGTGATTCAAAATAGTCCTGTTTTGTTGCACCACAGCTGACTTAAGAGATGTTGTCAACCCTGAAAAAGTGTAACTGTGTGGTCTTGTTCTTTTCTAGGTATGGCTTATGTGCTGCAACTTCACTGATGTGGTACAGAAAATTTATACAAAAGATACCCCTGTGAGGGGAAGGGCTATTCTGCTCCGCACTACAGTCAAGAGCAGACTTTACAGACTCATCAGTGCTGAGTAGGTGAAGCACCAAGAGTTTCAGGGCAACGTGTGCAGCTAGGAAGCTGCATAGACTTTAAGGAACTGATGCAGACTCCAAGCTCCCACCCCAAGGCCAATTTGGCTGCAACGTGGAAGCACTGAACTTAAAACTGTAAGTGGCTGTTGAGACTACTGCATAAATCAACTTCAAAAAATCTCAAGGATACCTTTTTCTGTTGTGGTTGGTGGTAAGCTACAACGTTTTAACTACTCCACTGCTGTAATTATCAAGAGACAAGGGATTTTGTGAATCAAATCTTCTTAACTCCAAGCAGTCATTCTTGAAAACAGGAGGGGTTCACAGCAGGTCCATCAGAATAAAAAGGGCTTGTGCTTCTGACACGGCAACAGTAACAGCCCTGAGTTAAATGTTACTGTGGATACTCAAATCTAGCTGGGCAAGGCAGCCTGTAGGTCTGCAAGAGCATGGAGGGCCAGCAAAACCAGCAGCTCCCTCAAGCTTGGTAGCCTCCCACAATGCCAAAGACCAAGGGAAAGAACAGGACAAGAAAGTCTGGATTCTTCCCCCACCACCTTCACTGACCGTTCTTGCCCTGGAAGAGGCTTTTCAGACCCAGCAGGAGGTTCCCCACCAATTTAGCCTGGCAAAGTGCTGCCCTACATTGATCCGTACTGTAACCACATCTTCAGTACTGACACGATCTAGAACAATTTTCAGTTGAACAATATTTGCATAAGCTTAAAGCCAGCACTAGCCTAGCCCCCCCAGCTCTGATGGGCTCCATGTTCAAAGGAGAGCAATTACACAAGAGGACTAGTAGTCAAAGGCAGTTGTTCCAAGTAAAGGAGTAACCTGCTCTACGCAGCACTATACAAGCACCTGAGAGAAGGCAACGTTCACATGCCTCCTGCTGCCCACAACACTCACATTAATAAAGACCAGTGAAACTTAATCTGGGGGTTTATTCTTTTTATGTACAGAAAACATGGTTGCACTCCAGTACATCTTTAGCCCAGCTTTGTAGCCAGTTCTTTAGCCTTTGCTTTTTCAAGCTTAGCGATGCGAGCCACTGATTTTGGACCCAAGACATTGCCGCCCCAGTGACGACGGATCTGCAAAAAAGGAAGAAGAGGTTAGATGCCTTATAGTCTCTTACTACATCAGTTACACAACTTGCTCAATACACAAGAAAAGAGCTTCCTCAACAAAGAATTCCTACATATTTCAACCAATGAACCACATTAAGACAGCGCAGAGATACAAGCGTTTAACAATCTTTCCCCATGAACGGTGCTGGATTCAGCCATCAGGTAGCTTCTGCGCTCGGGGATGGAGCTGAGCCTAACAGAAGCTGTTGCCCTCTCTACAATCCCAGCACAGCAACAGCTCCATTTACTTGTAACTCTGCGACAGTGTTCACATTGTACCCCACCCTCAGGTTAAGAATCTGGATATGCTGTAAACAAATCTAGGTACATAAAACACACCCAGCAGGCTCTAAGCTCAGGTCACTATGTCTGAAATAATACTTCACTGGAAAGCTTTTGAGGGTGTTAACAGTAAAAACTGAAACAAGGCTAACAGCATGGAGGATCTTACCTCATCGTATCTGTCGTTGTAGTTGGTCTTGACAGCCTCCACCAGCTTTGCGAGGGCTCCCTTATCCTCCCTGTTGGCGATAGTTTTAGTTCCTTTAAAGCCTCAATTTAACATCTTCCACAAATCGTTTGCCTCAGGATTTAAGAGCTCACAGTGGCAACACGATTTTTCAGGTTAAGTTTAAGCATCACTTGCCAAGGGTTACCCACTCCATCAATACATTAGGAACGTGCACCGCCCAAGTTAACAGTTCCATCTACGTATTTCAGAGTAACCATTTTGGTAAGCCAAAGTAATCTGTCTCTTCAGGATCCCACAGAGCTCTTCATACAAAAGGACATCTATCTTACACGTTATAAAGGCAGTATTTATTTTATTTAGTTTTACTGTTTTAAACTACAGAGATCCAAGCCTGCTATCCACCTGCCCTACAGCCTGTGCTTGGGGCAGTTTGTTTTCTCCACTACAGAGAACGAAGCCAGCACTCGGAATTACTTACGGGTTAACTTGGGTGAACGCAACAGAAGTACAAGTCTTCCTGTGGACCAGTCGCCCCAGTCTGGCTTTGCCCTTGATGATGCAGTACGGCACTCCCATCTTGCGGCACAGAGCGGGCAAGAAGACTACCAGCTGAAAAGCAAGGGAGCGTGCTTTGTGACTGAGGGAGAACATCTTTTCAGTTCTTTGAATTAGCCTGGGCTGTGGCAATTGCTCAGTGTTAAAAAGCTCGTTTTGCTCTTCACTGTTGATTCAGGTGAAGAAATTCATACATCATTGCAAGGGCCAAGCCTCACTGTAACACCTGGACAACTGTGAGCATGCCTAAGTATTCCAGCTCTGGTAAATATATCTTTTTATGTATTCTCTTTTCACGCAGTAACTTTGTCCTAAAATGCATTTTCACCCCAAGTCCAATGCTGACCTCAGCCAGCTGCACAGGTAGCACGTTACACATCCCAGCGAGTAGGCTTACCTCAATGGGGTCTACATCGTGGGCAATAACGACAAGCTGAGCTTTCTTGTTCTCTACCAGAGTTGTGACACTGTTAATACCTGAAAAACAAGGTACAAATAAGCTTTGATTCTGCTCAACCTATTTTCAGAGTCTTCATACAAGCCTCATGCAACCAGCTCAGATTCCATCACGCAGCTGATGGAAGTTGTGAAAACTTGTCACATCCATGCAGCAGCACGGACCGGGTATTACATGGACAATGTGCTAAAGCTCAGGGTTAAAAAGCTCGTCTATTTTGCTCTTCACTTTGAGTTCAGGTGAAGAAATTCATACATCATTGCAATAGCTTGTCCAATCCCACGTGGCTGGAGCAAAGCACCAACTCATCCGCTTTCCAACAAAGCACCGCGTCCCCATATATTCAAGCAGCCAAGTCCATGTACAAAGTTACCTGCTCGGAGGACTGGTGGCCGCTTAGTTGGTGCATCTCCCTTTCCTGCAGCTTTCTGCTCAGCGCGAGCCAGGAGCCTCTGCTTCTTCTCTTGCTTAGTTTCTGGCCTGTATTTGTGCGCCAGCTTCAGCAGCTGTGTAGCTGGAAAAGAACATCTACGGGTTAATTAGTGTTGTCATCACAAGTATTTAGACAGCAAAAAATTAACGAAATTTGCACAGTGCAAGAGCAGAGGTAGCAGAGCACCCTGAGAGCCCGTATTTACCTCTACAGGCACCTCTGCTGGCAATGACAGCTCCTTCACCGTTTGGATGAGGAAATGCCTGTGGACCCCCGCAGCAACTACGATTAAAGGTGGTGCGCTTTCTCCTTTAAGCCAGTAACATGTTTGGAAACATCTACGAGGGAGTTACTCTACATAGGCTGAAAGTTTCTTGCATAGACACTGTCACCTGAAAAAGACTATTTACTCATTCACAGGAGACCCCGAAGTCCCTTCTTCCTCCACATCACTGTCAGCCCCCAGGGTGCTGGCTTTCCCCCCAAAAGCCTGCACTCAAGCTGGAAGAATGGACTCCCATGAAAGTAGGCAGTTAAGATAACTCCAGGTTTGGGTCATTAAGCAGGAGCTTTGTCTATTCCCTTTTCCAAGTACTCAGCAGCTATCAGAACTTAAGCCAGCAAATTCAGACAGAAGTTTGCTGTGGACATCACCCCAGTCACTATTAAAGCATCTCTAAAATGCTTCCTAAGATACTCCCCAGCTTACCTTTGCTATGGTCTTATTTCACTTTGCTCTTCTCCAAAGCATATCCCATTAACAACCCAAACGAAGAGACCTTTGTGGGGCACATCCTTACCTGTCTGACGGTCCAAAGCCTGAGTGAACTGGTTAATGGCAGGAGGCACCTTCAAGCGCTTGTAGAGAATGGCCCTCTGGCGCTGCAGCCTGATGTAGCGCGGCCATTTCACAAAACGCGTGAGATCACGCTTCGGCTGGATATCCTGTCCTAAAAAAACAGACTTTAGCTCAAAGCTGTTACAAAGTCGCACGGCAAGAGGATGGAATAGGAATAGGTATGGGTGCATCAGTGATCTTGGTGGTGATATGTCAGCACTGCCACTCAGATAGCAAATATTCTTTCACATCATCTGCACGCCGTACAAAAACAGCACTACAGCAGCTTGAATGGATTTGTCACGCTACGCACAAGAGGGTGAGATTCATCACTATTGCAGAACGAATCTTTCCAACGCACGAAATTCAGCAAATGTCCATAGCCACCTTCATCTATCAAATGAAGGACAGCTCTTATTGCAGGCGGCAACGCAACTGTCTTCACTGATCTCTCCACTTCACAGCTTTATTACAATATGCTTCTGTTTACAATTTAGGCACCAGTTTACAAAATAAAAAACACTGAGCACGGGGCCCAAACATCCACTTACTCACCAATGCCAAAGTTCTTGGGCCTCTTTTCAAAGAGGGGATTGACAACCTTCTTGGCCTCCTGCTTCTTGACTACAGCAGGGGCCGGGGCCACCTTCTTGCCCTTGGCCTTCTTTCCTTTCGGCTGCAAGTAAGACATACACTCTTTTATTTTTTTGTCTCAACTACTTGTGTACTCAGAAGAGCTTTCAGTCCACCTCGGAACTGCACTTTCCCACGCATTTCACCAGCCCGGCAGCCTCCCAGCCTAGCCTTGCTCTTCCAG